TGTAGACACCCCATTTTTGACTGCCTTTAAGACTTGGGCGTTACTGATGGTTTATTTGGTGATGAAAGTTGTGCAGTGCAAAGGTTCGATTTCTTCAGCAAGAGGAGAGTCAAATCCTAACCTCACACCCCATTCTTTGGACTAAAACTATTTTGAATGGTTTTTAGACTTTAAAACCCTCTCTTTCAAAATATTTTTGAAAAGAAGTTCCTACGATGTTCCGACGCTCGCATTTTGTTAAATGTTGATGTTGCGCTTTTCGGTAAACCGAGCAAGGACAAAGTGAAAATGAATGAAAGAGAGTTGAAATCATTGAAAAATCTTTCAAAACACCTTGTTTAGGGGTTTGGAGTTGAAGAAAAGAGGAGAAGAGGAAAGAAACCAAGTTGGAGAAGAAGCTGGGTATGAATCGCTAAGAGAAAGTCGAGCAGTCCTCGCTAAATCAGGCCTACTTGTCTATGCACTTGTATTTAAGCTATGAGGCCACCACCGTTGGAAATAAGACTTATGGGGCTTCATTTTACACTCTAGAATCTCCTAAAACCGAGTCCGAATGGGAGAGATATGGTTGGTTGAAGTTGGGCATCATTTCGGTTGGACTGAAACTGAGCGGCTTCACCAAAACATGGATAACTTTTTTCACGGTTGGAATTTTGATGCAAGGATACCACCATTGGAAATCTTACTTCTAGGGCTTCAATTTGGACACAAGAATTACCTAAAAAGGAGTTCATATGAAGGAGTTATTCCCATTTGAAGTTGGGCCTGAAAAACAGATTTTGTTGACCGATCGGCCAAAAAAGTTGCAGATAAGTGGCAGATCGGCACAAAAGATGGCCGATCGGCCAAGAGTGACCCAATCTCAGTTTTTTTGAAGGTATTTCATCTCCAGCTGTTTCCAGCAAGCTCCAGCTGTCCCTAGCTTAGATATTTCGAGCAATCTTGATATTTTGCTATATATGGAGCCAAATATCTCATTTCTAAAGGGTTAGAACCTTGAAGCAAATTTTGGGAGCTTCTCACACTAAAAAGTCCTCTCTCTCTAGAAATTTCAAAGCCAAATCTCTGTCTCTCTCTGTAGTTTTCTCTCTCTCTTGCCCTCTTGTGCATAGAAGTAGAGAAACATGCCTAGTTTGCCTATGCATCCTTGATCAAAGTTGCCTATCTTTGGGAGGAGGTTGCTTGAAGCTTACTTGGGACTTTGTTTGAGCTCCAAAACGTGTTTTGGCTCAGATTTTGGGCTGGTTTTGCAGCTGTGCATCAAGGGTAAGATCTCCCTCTTTTAAGCTCATTTTTGTACACTATTTTGGCCACCTTTGCATCCTTGTTTTGCCACCCTTTCAATTTGTTTTTGGCTTGGTTTTGAACTGAAGAAAGGTCTATTTTTCAGTCCTAAAAATGATGGTTTAAGCCTTGTTTGGCTAGGGGGTTGTCTCTCCCTTTTGTTCCTTAGCTTGTATAGCTTTTGAGCCATCTTCCAAAGCCTTTCAAAACAACTTTTCGTGCCTTTTTAACCACTGAAATCTAGAAGATTTTCAGTGGTAAAAACCCGGTTTTGAGGGCCCAAATAGGAGAGGGTGGTCCCCTCTCCTCTTGTCTTGCTTGCTAGTGTTGATGGCCAACCAAAAGGGCATGTGTTTTTACTTCTTTGTGGCTTTGTTCAAGCACTTTTTTGTGACTTTTAGGACCTTCCATAACTCTGTTTTAGGCTGGTTTGGTCACCTCTTGCATGCTTATTGCACTTGTAGTGTAAATCCTCTTTGCTAGCCTTGTTAGCCTTACAAAGTAGCATGCTTTTGTGGTTTGAATTAGCTTAGTTCAAGTATGTTTTTGGTGTTATTTTGTCATGTTATAACTCTGATTTTGATTGGTAGACTCACTCCTTGCATGGTTTATACAGTTGTAGTGTATTTCTCACAAACTAGTCTTGTATGATTCATGAAGTAGCATGCCTTTCTAGCATGATTTGATTCTATTTCAGCATGTTTCTGGTGATATTTTGCCATTTCATACCCCTGTTAAGGTTTGGTTTGGTTGGCCCTTGCATGCTCCATGCACTTGTAGCGCAATTCCATGAATTAGCCTAATGTGTACCATGCTTTAACATGTCATTCTAGCATGATTTTGACTTAACTCTAAGAAGATTTTGGTCATGTTTTAGCATGATTAAGCTCTGATTTTTGTTGTTTTGGTCATGCATGCCATGATTTGTATAGCTAGGGTTCATTCTAGCTTGTTAACTTTGTACATCAAGTCCACTAGCATGCATTGCTTGATCTATTTGAATGATTTGGCATCATTTTTTTATGTGATTTCAGAGCATGTTTCATTGCCATGCACTCACTTCTTTTCACTACAAGAATTACATTTTTCGCAACGCAAGAAAATATGTTGCTAAAAGGGAAAATTCGTTGGCAAAGAGTTTTGCCGACGCACAAAGCTACGTTGGCAACCCGTAGACAAAAGTGAGTCGGCAAAAGTTTTTGTCGACAAAATTATCATTGTGTTGGTAAAAGTAATGCCTTTAGCGACGAACATAGTCGTCGATAAAAGCCTTCATCCATCGTCGGCAATTTACCTTGCGTCGGTAAAAGTCATTCAAATATGATGATTGTGTGGCACTTTTCGCGACACAAATTTGCATGGACAAAAAATATACTTTTAGCAACAAAATATGCGTCGGCAAAAGTAAACTTTTGGCGGCACATTTACGTTGGTAAATGTTGCCATTTGCCGACGATTTGTTTGTCGTTAATGCTTTACTTTTGCCAACGACAAATTGACATTGGCAAAAAATACACTTCTACCAGCACAATATGAGTGGGCAAAAGTAAACTTTTAGCGACACATTTACGTCGGTAAATGTTGCCATTTGCCAACGATTTGGTCGTCGATAAAGCTTTACTTTTGGCAACGACAAATTGGCATTGGCAAAAAATACACTTTTAGCAACATAATATGAGTGGGCAAAAATAAACTTTTGGCTACACATTTACCGACAAGTTGTTTGTCGAGAAAGCTTTACTTTTTGGCAACGACAAATTTGTAGCGGCAAAAAAAATTGAAAATCATATATATTTTTTTATAAGATTTACATATTTACAAGAGACATCCCTCAGACACTACTATTACAAACAAATAACATTGATATTAAATCACCTAAAGTTGATGTGTAGGCAAAAAAAATACTACTGAAAAATATGCTTTTGGAAGCGTTGTATAAAACCTAAAAGGGTAAACTCACTAAAATACTTAAATACATCCAAATTGTGAACCCATAGTAAAAATAGCAGATACAAAATGAAAACATGAAACTATCAACCCAAATTTGCAGCAGACCAGCATCTAGCAGTAGCCCGCTTCACAGCAACATTGCAGCAGCAGCAGCCGCCGCCCAGCAAAATTCTGCAGCAGCACACCGGCAGCAACAGCAGAAGACCAGCAGACCAGCAGCAGTAGCAGACCAGCAATAGACCAGCAGCAGCAGAATTAAAGGTACCAGTAGCTGCATCAAACACATAAAAAACACAAAAACGGCGGCGAAATACCAGGGCACATGTTTACATTATTCGATATATCCAAAATAGAAAAGGGATAAATAAATAAAGAAGGCGAAGAAAATAATCCCAAACAATGATGCGAATGATGGAAGTGTGGCATAAATAGTAATGAGCGGGAAATCTGCAGTTCTAAGAAGTTAATCACGAACTTGGAAATTTATATCACATTGTCTTTTGTATAAGTTTCCTTTTCCCCAAACGATGGCTGAAGCCAAAACAAAAGAAAGCAAAGATCACAAATGCACCTTTCTCAAACACCCCACACCTATCCTATCTTTAGCCAATAACGTTAGAAGAGTCTTGGGAGCATCATGTATAAGCATAAAAGTTTCACGTCGAGCTGTTACATTCTTAGCTAGGCGATCAGCACAAATATTAGTTTCCCTCTATATCAAATTCAACTCACAGACACAGACATTCCTAAGAAAGTGTAAAGTCCATATTTGCACTATTGTTACAATGTAATGAAGATGAACTCTTATGATTACATGGATTAAAAAAATGGATGCATTATTGTTAGAACTTACATCGTTCCTGCCACACGGGTACTGACATGAGTCATGTTGGCTGGGATAAGTTTTGGTAGACCAAAATCTGAAATTTGGGTGTCAAGTCTTTCTCGAGGAGAATATTGCTAGCTTTGATATCTCAATGAACGATATGTGGTCGCACAACAAAGTTTGGTCAGTATGGGATTGATTTTTGGTTCCCTTCAAACAAAGAAAAAGGAAATAAGGCATCAATGACTGATTCTATAAGATTATCAATAAAAAATAACATAGATAAAGTCAAAGTGGCAACCTGAAAGTGGCAAAAGAGCAATAGAACCATTATCATCAAGATGTAACTCTGCTTTTACAAGCTTTGCAGTTATAAAATACATGAAAAGGGAGTCATAAGCAATCAGAAATTGAACAATTACAAGTAGGATATGGTGCAAAACAATCTAGTAGAAAAATTCTAGAGTACATGACAAAAGCTAGCATCAGCAGCCACACGTCTTTCCAGTAATATGCAGCCATTTAAACAAATAGTCTATCATTATCAAATAGTTCATCTTGCTAAATAACATCCACTGCCACAACTTGTAATCCCTAAAACATGGGTTTACAGGTGGATATTTTGATCACGGGAGTTACTTCTTGATATAAAGGAGATTTTAATTACAACAACCATAGAAGATGTATTAAGAGAACTACAAATTAATATAATAGTTTATAAGATTCTCATGAAACTTACAATGGGCCAGTAAGGTAGCCAAAAATGTGCATCCGAGCTGAGGGACTGTACTTGGATACATATATTGTCCCACAAAGGCGTCTCAATGCTTGAACTTCCATCAACAAGAGCAGAAATACAGATTGCCAAACCCTGTATCTATATTTTACAGTGCGCAAATGAGAATGAGATTTATGAAAGAAAGGATATTTGAACCCCCAGTTAAGTAGCTGACAATAGTGGAGTATTGTAAAGGCCCAGAGACCAATGGTGCCTCTTTATATGCATAAAACCAAGTTGTGACCAGCAACAATGTTGTCCACACCACAGCCAACACATAAAAATGACTGAAGAATTTCTGAGGTACAGTGAATTTCTGCAAATCAACAATTTAACAGAGACATTTATTATGGATATATGAATAACTTCAGCAGAAAAATGTACTTGAAAGCTTCAAATATGTGTATATATATAATTAGAGGAACATAGTACGGTTGACCATGCTTGGACATATGACACACTAATCATGGAAACTAAAAGATGAGAATATAAACTATATCCATGACAACAGAAAAACTCAAAAACTAAAAATTAGATGGGGTGAGGAGAGGGAAAGGAAAGAGAGAAAAAAGAAAAATGGGGAAGGATTAACATTTATACTTGAATAAAATTACAAGTTTTCATCTCTAATACAATTATATTTGAATTTCCATCAAATTGTAACTAGTTTGTCTACTCACCACTTTTTGGTAATTTTTCTTAAAATAAATAGTCACAATGACAACTTGAATAATAAGATTCCTAAGAGGATTAAAAATTCATAACACCACAAAAATTCCATGTCTAGAAAATTAAGAAAAAAAAACGGTCCTCAAAAGAAATCTGAAATCACTATTATCATGGACAAAAACCCAAAAGATCAAAAAGGTTAAATGATAAGTAGTACTAGAATATAGAATATAATGCAGATAAAATTATCCCAAACAAGAAGAGGAGGTAAAAGTACCAATTGGAGTGCAAGTCATAGCGAACCAAATCAATCCCAACTAGGTTGGCACCCATAAGGCCGATCAATCATATGCTAGCACACCATCAAGAGTTGGTGAGAAACCAACCACAAACACCGAAGCCAGCCTCACCCAAGCATAAGAAAACCAAAACTAACAAACTAACACACATAAACAAAGACAAAAAACACCAACAAACACAATATCAGCAGCATGAGCACCAAAAAAATAGCAGCCAGAGCACACAACATCAGCAGCCAGAGCAGCCAACAAACACCAAGGAATGAACACCATAGCAGCCAGCAGCAGACATACAAACCAACAACCACCAGGGAATGAACACCACAGCATCACAGCAGACAAACAAACCAATAACCACCAGAGCAGACAGCATTGCACAACACAAATAATCAGACTAACTCTGCTTCAAACAAGTCTCGGTGGTGGAATATGATAAATCTGTCATTCATGATGCAAGGAAAGAACATATGTCCGGGTAACAATTGATGTCATCTTGAAGAGAAATAAAGAATTTGGGCATACAATAGATACTTAAATAGTCCATTGTCGTTCACTTAGAAGTTGAGATGAGTGCATTGCATTTGAAAGCATTTGAATATATGTACAACTACTCTTTTGCAAGTGTTAAGCAAAACTACACAAATACAATTTCACAATGACAGCTTTAATTTATAGGATAGAAAGATTATATACGTATCTACAGCCTACTAGATTTCTCCTAATTCTACTAGAAAAAAGACTCAGAAATAGAGAATTTTGGCTATTTGACAATTAAGACTTTTCTATACCCAATAAAATCACAAATAACAATCCAATAATACAGCTTGACTAAAAAAAAAAATGAAAAAAATCCCTGGATAGATCCATACTTCTACAACCCAAATCTAGCAAAATTGAAAGTAACAAAACCACCCTTAACTACTAAACCAAATAAAGCCTAAATAAACATGTCATATAGTCATGAACTAATGAGAAACATGAAATGAACACTCATGTTGATCCTACACTTAATTACAGAAGTCCAAGTGCAGTCCATGTAAAATTGGAGCCTTGCCCCTTTTTAGAATATTATGAACTAGACATCCATGTCCTATTGCATTTACCTAAGCTAATGTACCACATTATGCATTACAATGCAACTTCTCAATCATGAACATCTAACATGGAAATATATCAGTCATATATTGCAGGAAATTAATCTCGCCACATCGATGTTAGATGAACAATAAAGTGAAAAAAAGAAAATATTGGCACCTAGGTGTTGAATCAACTGTCAAGTAACCACTTGGGTCCTTTGCCATGGGAATCCCGAGTGATTTGAAGATTTTAATGTCTTTGTGAATGGAGTTAGATTTGAGTCCAAAATTCTTTGGAATCTTTCTCCATTTTATAAACTACAAAACCATACCTTCTTAGGCATTGTCTCTCCTCCATCTAATATTGACTGAATACAGGTTACACTATACTATACTACTCTCCAATATTGACTGAACACAGGTTGCTGTCATTATGTAGTTGGGCAGCCAGTGAACACAAAATCATGGTCCAGTTATTGTCTTCCTCTCTCAACCTAGATTTAGAATTGTCTATACATTCCAATCATCCAAAAACTAGCCTTAATTCAAAACCATCCAAAAAGAACTATCTTTAAGTTATAATTGTCCAAAAAGTTATAAACTACCCAAAAACTATATCATATATAAGTTTCTAAACAAAGTGTTGTTAAAAAAAATCCTATAGTCAAATAAGTGTTGTTGTTCTGCAGTATACGGAGAAGCCACCATCCAATAAATTAGGATTTGACAGCTGAAACATTTTATAACTAGCATATTCATCTTTATAATTGAACAAAATCATTAACAGATCAGATCAACTAAATCCATGTCTGATCTGTTAACAATCAGACCTATTAGATTCTGATAGTAAGTGAATAATCACATTTCAACCACAAATTATTGGATTAGATTCAGCTTAGAATACAGTCCATTGATGGGCCTAGTCTCAGGTTTATATTCCTTTTCATTTTAAGACAAATTTTCCAAGGAGATCTTGTATTTCTGATTTGCCTCACCGCCACCAATGATGCTAGTTATAGTTGTATCAGTGACCAATTAAGGTGCTTAAAAAGATAAAATCCACATCAGGGACGTTCTTAGTTAGCTCGCAAAAAAATAATCCCAAGTCTACCACTACAAACTCAAGTGTTATTCACAACGTTCATTCAGAATCTTATAGCATGGACTTAGGGCCATATTCTAATTAAATGAGAGGAAAAGCAGAGGGTAATCAAAATATGAAAATACCTTGTGTATGCTGATATTATTCCATCTTTAGCGAAACTATCTTCTTGTGTGCCAATCTCATGCAAATATAGACAAACAGGATTGCTGCAAGACTGCACCAAAAAAATTTCAATCCTCACCTATAACCAATAGTCCAATTTCCAATCAATAATTCAGAAATCATGCCACATTTCTCAGTCAGGCATGACAATACTTTGTGATTCCAAAGCATGCCCTGCAAAATGAAATCCCAACACCTACATAAGAGAATACAAAATAGAGCATAAATCTTGAATGTAGCCATTTCCCACCTCAATGATCTACCATCCAAGGTAAACCCATGCACTGATTGAATACATCGAACCGCTTCCTCCTCCTTTGAGTAAGTAATATATCTGGGATAGAAATCACGTTTAAGAACAAAACAGTTGTAGTGAAGTAATGGAACAAAAATATGTCAACAAGCCAGTATCAACATACAACTAGATCAAAAGTAGAAATAAACTGCATCTTCAGATTAGGCGGTTTCCTTGTACATATGAACTAATAGAATAAGCAAGAGATTGAAATGAACAAGCAATGTTTGACATAAACATTTTGAAGTATTTATCACTCAATTTCACTTCTCAAGGAAGATAAAAATAAATACATAAACAAAAACTAGCAATAATGAAAACACTTAGACTTACACACTACAAGTATTGTTTGCAAAATGTTGAATAGCACCAGCTGCTGTCCGAGATATAGACACCTTCAGCACCTTTCCATACTGACCAAAATACTCTCTCTGCTGGAGAAGCTGCTAATAAAATGATAAAACTGTTAATGAACAGACCTATACCCCTGTTGTGATAGGTGGTAAGGGGGAGAGGGAGAGAGAGAGAGAGAGAGAGAGCAGAAAAGTACACACGTCTTCATCTGCCAGATTAAGAGGTAACCTCACAATGTAGACAAGATTTCGTTGAAAGCAGTTAGCAAATCCAGCAAATCAAGGCAAATGGGCAGCAGCAAACGGGCAGCAGCAAATGGGAAAGGATTAACATTTATACTTGAATAAAATTACAAGTTTTCATCTCTAATACAATTATATTTGAATTTCCATCAAATTGTAACTAGTTTGTCTACTCACCACTTTTTGGTAATTTTTCTTAAAATAAACAGTCACAATGACAACTTGAATAATAAGATTCCTAAGAGGATTAAAAATTCATAACACCACAAAAATTCCATGTCTAGTTTGTGTACATACAAAGAAATGCAAAAGCCTAAAAAGTTACTGAAAATGAAAGACCTAAACATTTCATGAACCAAACATTGTATGACATCAAGTGAGACTTGAAATTCAACTCAAACACATAAAAATCTTCACAATACTGATAAATTCAAATAAAATCTAACCCTAAAGAAGTGTTGAAAACAATTCAAATGAGGCAAAGACCTAAACAGGACATTTCTAGCAAGAAACAGAACAAGGTTCAAACACTCTGCTCCCGAAAGTCAAATTTCAAGACCAAACAATCACAAGATTCGATGAAATCCGATCCACATAATTGGAAAACTTTGAAATGCCAAAAATAAAACCAATTCTACAGTGAAAACAATGGATCGCTCACTAGACTAGCAAAATATATTGAAAACGATACGAAAACTTTGACCAAAAAAAGTTGAAAGTGGAGTCTAACACTATGGCATCAACATAAGACTCTATATAACTTGCTTTAGTCCATTTGAAAAATAAATCCATCAAATGATTAACATTTTCACCTCATCAAATTATGTAATGACAAATGCCAAATAAAGACATTAAAATCTTACCAAGAAACCCAAGAGAGAGAAGCAAAGCAATGAAAGCGAATGGCAATCCTACCAAGAAACCCAATGGCCTGCAATCTGCCATTTAAATTTATCTCTCTCTCTCTCTCGCTTCCCTTTCTTTGTTGTTTGTTTGATTCTCTTCTCTCTACTCCTGCAGATTTTGTTACATTGAAGGAAAGCCTTCCACTGCGGAACAAAGAAAAAATTCAAAAAATAAAATAAAAATAAAAAACTCAGTGATTAGAGAGAGGAAGGGAAGAAAAGATGTCAAAACCGTTTCCTCTTATTGTGGAAGATAATATATAAATTAAGGTAAAAAATTAATGTGATAGTAATATTATCTCATCATTAACACGTAAAAATTAAGATAAATAAATTTTTTCTAAAAACAAATAACATAAACAAGTAAATTTTTCTATTGCATTACTGACCTGAATTTTCAGTTACTGTAAAACCTGGCACCTTCAGAATTCTATCTTTGTAGCTGAAAGCATATGGGTTTTAAGTGAATATATTCGTGTTCATATTTTCAACAAGTCTAATAGTTATACTTTGGTTTACAAATACCATCAGGAAGATTTCATTAATTACCTGTGCTTGAACTCACTTCACATTGTGAACTTTCACAAGTATCAACTTTGTCATGATTGATATAAACCTTAAAACTTGCCAAGAGAAACTTAGCATGAAGGAAACCATATGAAACCATAGCAAAAATAACCATTCAAAGTCCTATATGACAAGAACAGGCAAGTTAATTCGCTATGTTTTGATATGGAGGAATAAAATAAAATAAACCAATTTCATTGGCAATAAATGTCATAAGCACATGAACATAATAAGTTTTATCTTATAGGCATATTGTCAAACACAATGTATGCAAGGTATACATATTGATAAACACTGATTTAATACACAAACGTACAAATCCAATACCAACATCTGCAAACAAAAGAAATTGAAAAATATGAACCCAAGTAAGAAACAAGTATTCATAGTGCTCTCCAAGTGATTGTAGGATGTCACTCACCTTGACAATCAATGTTGTAGCATCGAACATGTTTGGAGTGTCTACCCCATTGAGATAAGCTTTGATTTATGGGATACCAGGTCCAGCCGCAGTGGGTGTGAAACACACACAGAGAACAGCAGCAACCATGGTCAGAATAAAATTAACACCAGTAAAAAATATAAATCCCATCAGGTACCTGCATACACCAAGATGATTGCCAAAGCATTTCTCAATTCCCAGCTCTAGCCAAGGTAAACATTTTTTTTTTTTGGGTGAAGGATATTTGAGAATTATCTGTTAGCTGAAAATATTTCAAATGAGTTTCTTAATTTAGTGCAAGGATATAACAATACCTTTCTTCTTCTATGTATCGAACCATGGAGAGATGCTTGTACCCTGCAATATTCTCGACTGCAAGATTGATGAATGTGGCAATTATGCTAGTTAGAAGCCCAACAAGGAAAGCCAGCATCCATTTTAAGAAAATATACTGCAATACTTGGACTTTTGATCTGCTTCTCCAGTCATGCTTGAAGAGATCATTCTCATTGATCCTGTATAAAAAGAATTTGCTGCATAAAGAAGAATGTGAAGAAGAAAAAGGAACATTAGAATGCAAGAACAGAGTAAGATGTTTTTACTCATAGTCCAAGCTCTCAATATCAGAGACCTCTTCATGAGTTGTAATAAAGGATTAGCATGGGTAAGTTGTAATAGATAAGCTCTGGAAAATAGGCAAGTAACAAGAGCACCGGTCGGTCTTGGAAATTTCTAGGAAAAGTGATGAAATTTGTCTTCTTCTATTATGTATGTGGATGATTTGAAGCCCACGTGCCCAAAATCTGCAAGGAAAGAGTTAGAAACCAAGCAAACATGAGCGTTATATCACTGGAGGCGGCAGCGGTATACCACTCTTACACACTTTTTATATATGTTATAGATATATATCAACATAAATTACATATATAAAGCAGAAAAGGAAGATGAAAACATACTTTTAACCATGATCTTGCTTGCGATAGGGAAATTGAAGAGTGAGGAGGAGGCATGAAGCCTTAAAGATTTGGGTTTAGTTTGAAATTTAAGAGATGTTGTAACGCCCTCAAAAAAATAACCCATTATATATCATTGACATGCATTATTTAAAGAAGACAATATATTAATCCATTCATCAGAGTATTACTAAATAAAGCATTACATGTAACATCGAATAAAATGCCCTACAGGCTTACATCTTTCCAAGCCAACACTTGGATACAAAAATATGAGTTCTAACTCAATACAAGAAAAAGCCCTAGGCTTGAATGTTTACATGTACTAATAATTAAAGACAATTAACTAAAGGTAGTCATCTTCAATCCAGAAGACAAACCTTCCCAAGCTAAGTCCTTGGAGGTAGTTTATCACCTGAACCTGAAAAACTTACAAGGATAGATGCTTTTGATTTTATTAAAATCAAAACTTTACACACAACAACAAATGAATAGCATTAACTAATTAAATATGCACAATAATTTAATAATCAAAGATGGATAGCTGTTAAGTGTTAAAGTAGACTTGAATAAATGAGAAGTCAAAAACTGAAACTAGAAAATGGATTTAATTTTCATATGTAGCATTTCACATTGTGGAAGGAAAGGGAGTTCAAAATAATATTAAAAGGACAAAAGCTTAAAACACTGATTAGATATTAAGGCCAAGTTTGGCAAGTTGAAAAAAAGTTAAAAAGCCAAAAAGTTACTCAAAAAGTTAAAAAGTTATCACTATTCACCAAAAGTCAAAAAGCATGACTGCACAATTCTCAATCCTAATTTTCCTCTATCCACTAACTTATACAAATTTTTAATACACATTTTTCCATAAAAAGTCAAAAAGTTAACCCAAACATTTATATTTTTTCCCTCAACTTTTTAGTCAAAAAGACAAAAAGTACACTTATTTAGGACACCCCAAACAACCCCTTAGCTATAATATTCTATAAAGTAGCATGAATTGTGAATATAGATTGAAAAACATGTAAATATTCTTGGGCCCCATGAAACCATGATAAATGAAGTATCTAGCAAGAAATATGAACCTGTAATGGCATAGGAGTGATGATAATCAGAAGAAACTTTAATAATTTCCTTGGAAAGTCTAGAAACTTTGAGGGGCTCCTGCATTAATAATACAACCAAATTACATGGTCAATTCAAAAGGAACTCCATAGGAAACATTACAAATAACAATCTAAACAATCACATCTCTTTTTCCATTTTATTGGTACTAAAATAGTCGAAGAAGATAGTGAGTGAAGTTAACCAAAATAAACAGAAGTAGAAAAATAATATGTAGTTTGCGTGGGGAATTTATGCAAACATGTGTGAAGCATTGTAAAAAAACACAACCAAAACTGTGCCATCATCAAATAACATGACCGTCTTCATAAATATGCCTTATTTTAACCCATAACAATGCACAATGAAAAAGGGTTTAATTTTACCAACATCAGCCAAGCAATCACACACAACCATATAAATCATGTCAGAAAGTCCTGCCTAGAAGATAACATACATACTCTTAACAAACATTTTATCATCTTGTAATTCATACCCTAAGGCTACTCATCATACCCATGCTTCCATCCATTATGGTCCTTCAGCACCATCCAGAGCACAGCCTGCAAGGGTACCATCAATCAGAAACTACTTTACTGCACAATCATCCAATAGCTGGTTGCTACCTGTATTCACAAGAAATGCCCCTGCATAGATCAAGGCACTCCCCTGTAAGTGCAAGTTATAGGAATCCCAGTATTTTTCTTTATAAAATAAATGTACTAAACGGAAGAAACCCTGGAAAGTACCAGGCTTTATATGCTGCAAACAATCTGCATTAATAATTTGAATTGTTTCGTTTGTCAAAGCACAGTGAAGAGAAATAAGGTCACTTGCAGCAAGTAAATCATTAAGGGTATCCATTCTTTGGGCAGGAGGGAACATCATTGAGGATCTACTCAACTTTCCTTTTCCCTGCATGAATGTAATTAAGGAAAAAATTAATTAGATGACACATTTCATTTTCCCTGTGTAACGTAATTAAGGGTAATTAATTAGATTAAGTCATATATATTAGAGGACAAATATCCAATACATGACAGGAACATCAAATTCAAAAAGCCAAAAAGAAGCACATCTAGTTCTCAAATAACATATATTTAATGCCTCTGGTAATACATATAAACAAAACTTAATGTACTAACAACACTTCGCTGAAAAAGATTACTAGCACTTGAGATTCTTCTCAACTTGTTGCTTTTACAAAAAACCTCTAAGATTTCCAAAGATCAATAGACTAGATGCTCTCCAATGACAACTCTAATCAATTCAGTCACATATAACTATTTCTTAGTTCCAAGACAATAGATTGAACAACTCTAATACCTAACTAGACCTGTCTCTTGTTGGGAATTTTATAGAGCTTTAATTTAAGTTTCGAAGTCAAGCTATTTCAGAAAATCAAAGCTATAAAAAAGTGATTAATCAACTTACTCTCAGAGCTCAATCACTACAGATCCCGGACTAGGACCCCCGCAAAATCCAACGAAACAAACAGCTGAACATAAAAAATATATATATAATTTAACAACACATCAAATTGAACATGAATTCTGAAAAAATAAAGAAGGAACAGATTGCATCAATTAATAAAAACTGATACAGAGAAAAATTCAAAAAAATAATAAATAAATCCAGAAATTGATTAGAGAACAGGGGTTAAAATTCAAAAGAAGAAATTGAAGAGAGTACCTTCAAGATTCATGTCAGTCATATTACTGTGAGAGAGAGATAGGGAGAGCGAAGAGACCGATCAGTGTTTATGAAGGGGCTAGGGCAAATATAAGGAAAAGGGGGAAAAAATATAAATGTTAGGGTTTACCGAGAGAGAGAAATAGGAGGATATACATACCAGTTATTATGGAGAGGCCGGTGATGACAAGAAGCCATGCTCACTGGCGGTGGTGACGGAAGGAGAGAGGAGATGAGTTGCGCGAAGGTGGGGAGAACTAAGGAAGGAGATGAATCTCACGCAGAAAGTCAGTAGAGTTGGCTATGAAAAACGATTCAACACAATTTTTAGGTTTTTTTTTTTTTTTTTTTGGAAAAATTAAAATTAATTTGAGAGCAATAAAAATCAAAACTATATTTTTAAAATTTTAAAAAGTATTTATGACTTAAAAGATAAAATTATACAAAAATAATAAGTATTTTTTTATTTTTTCACCCAATTGTTTTTTGTTTTTTAGAAAAAGAAAATTGAAGCTAGATTCTGAAAATAAAATCCAACATATTGAAATTAATAATCTAACCACATTCTTTGAAAAAAGTTTAAATTATCTCCAATTAGTCATCTCAACTTTAGTGTTAATGGGTTTATTTTGTGATCTAATTCAATGATCATTTTAATTTTACAATTCAGTAATTAGAATATTTAAAACTCTTTGAAAAGTTATAATAAAAACACAATCACTAAATTATTTTATTTCACTAGCAAAACTTTGACCGACGAATAGTGTTATCGTCGCTAAATGGTTAACTCTTTGCCCACGCCAATTTGTCGTCGCCAGAAGTAAGCACACTAATAGCAACGCTCATTGTGTTGCTAAAATATAAGTCCCGTAGCTAAAAGTTTTGAAATTTTGGCGCCAACTAAAAATTTTGGCGCTTAGTGAATGTTATGTTTTTTTAGCGACGGTAGCAAATTGCGTTGGTAAAGGTATACTTTTACCAACGAAATTGATCACTGTGTCGCCAAAAATATACTTTTGGCGATGGAAAATTGACGTTGTCGCCAAAAGTAGTCGCCAAAAGTGCAATTTCTTGTAGTGTACAGAGAGAGAGCATACGCTGTGAGAAAGTCGTCGTCGGTCCAGCCCTAGCTGTCGTCGTCGCCGCACCATCGCACCACCACTAGCCTGCTCGCCGTTCGTCGCTCATCCAGAGAGATGCCAAGTTCACGGTTCGTCGCTCGTTTGGGGATTTCGAACATTTAGGGATTTCATCGAGCGCCAAGATAAAAGGGAAGAGGAGGCAAATTTTTTTTAACTTTTTGCGACGGTACATTTTACACCGTCGCAAATGATAAATTATTAAGCTAAATAAACGCTGTTTTGATAAGTTTTTTGGGCGACGAACATTTTGCCGTCGCAATGGTCCACTATTTGCGACAGCCAACTCATGCCATCTCAAAAAAAAAATTTAGCGACGATAAAAAATGCGGTCGCTAATACTTCTGTTTTTTCACACTATCTGTGCAGTTTTATTACCGACGGTAAAAGGCCGTCGCTAAAGCACTCATTTACGACGATTTAATCTGCCGTCGCAAAAGCTCATTTTTTGCTACAGGAAAACGCACCGTCGCAAAAGCTTCTGTGTTTATACCCCTTTTTCTTGTAGTGTCTAATGCACTTTTAATCGTACAATAATGCTTAAAAATTCATGTATTTTGAAATTTTCATGGTATTGTGCAATGCCCTGGAATAAATGCTATAAATCGGCCCCAACAACATATACGCAATGACATAAATAAAGTAGTTATCTTTCATTAATCAGAGTTAATTTACAAAAGAGCACGTATGCGATATACATTCATTAGCTCTCCCCTGAATCTATAGCATGTGATATCAATATAATGATCAACAAAATAATGCTCTGCAGGCTTACAACTTTCTAAGGAAGTATGTTTTGGAACTTGCCTCATATGGAAGTTGAATGTAACACTATATATGTTGAATATATTGTTGAAATTAGAAAGATAATGCGTAATGTTGAAAGTACATATGTTGTTTACATATTGTGAAATGCCTTTTGTTAAAGGGATGGGATGACCGGTAATGGGTCAAATTGTTGAATGTTAAAATGTAGCATTGTTTAAAATGGAGAAAAACTTGTTTTTGAAAACTTGTGCTTAATTTCGGGGATGAAATTCTTTAAGGGGGGGAGGTTATAGCGATCCCGAGTTTACCCTTGTTGTACAGTGATCCGGACATGTGTCCGTGGATGTTGGTAGTTGTTTATTATCTTGTTTGCATCCTCTTTACTTTGTATATTGAGTTATAGGATGTGTTGGGCAGGTTTGTTACAGGTTGGTTGTGTTTGGGAGCCTAGTGCTGCTGCCCAGATTTTTGGACCTTCACTCGAGCGAGGAGTTGGTCGCTCGAGCGAGAGTTGAGTTCGTGCCCGGTGGATCGAGCCAGAGTGGCTTCGCTCGAGTGAGCGATTGCATCTGGTTCTGGACCTGAGAGCTGCACTTCTTGGCTCGAGCGAGTTTTCTTCGCTCGAGCGTTTTGGTTTGTTCTTCACTCGAGCGAGAAGTCTGTCGCTCGAGCGTGCTTCTGGTTGCAGACCTGAGGGTTTGAGTTGTTAGCTCGAGTGAGCATTCTTTCGCTCGAGCGCACTTCTGAGTTTTCGGCTCGAGCGAGAACTTCTTGGCTCGAGCGAGAGTTTTCTGTGTCTGGTCGCTCGAGCGACAAAGGCTTCGCTCGAGCGAGCGTGTTTTATATTAGCGGTTAGTAGCGTTTTTGAACATCAGTTTTTCACTTTCTTTTTCTTTCAAACCCTAGATCCGAGACTCTCTCTCTCTAAACCTACACTCTCTCTAAGATTTGATCTTCCTAGATGTGAATCTAGCCTAGGGCCTTTGTTAAAAAGATAGAGGGCGTTGAGAGCTTCGACTTAATCTGAAAAAGTTTGCATTTGGAGCACGTTGATTTTCTAGTCTTTATCTCCTTTTTGGCTCAAACTTCGAGGTAGGGATACCCTACTCCTCTCTATGGGCTTTGTCTTTGAATTTTAGCATTTTGATATGTTGGAA